ACACGCGACACTGCCGCGTCCCCACTCAGCGCGGGCGGGGCTGGGAGCGGCCCCCGCGGCGCGTCATGACCCCACTCACCCGATCCCCGAAGCCAACGACGGGATGGCGCGGGGAGCGGCGGCGGCGGTGGCGCTAGCGCCGGGAGACTCTGTGCGCCAGCCTGGAACACGAGGACGGAGAATTCCAGGCTACACCCAGTCCCCTCCTCTCAGCGCGCTCCCCCTCCCCCGGCTCGGCGGGCCAAGCGCACCCCACCCCCTGGCCTCCTCCCGGGAGACTCAGAGATAAATAAAGAGATGGCCCGAATTTTTCAAACAAAAAAAGTAAAAGAGTTCTCCCGTTAGGGGGTAGAATGGGGGCGTCGGGCAGGCCCGCTTCGAGCCAAGTCTCTCCAGATGAGGAAAGAAGCAGGCTGAGGACTGCGTGCGCCCCAGCTCTTGCCAGGCTCAGGTGGTGGCGCGCACTGGCTGTTGCCGAGAGGGGGTGGGGAGCCGAGACGCTCCAGCGTGGAAATCACGCCTCCTCCCAAGTAAGAGCCATTTAAGATCGCCCCAACACTGCAGCTCCCAGGGGCACCACAGGGGACCGGTGTGCGTCTAGAGTCCGTCCACCCCAAATGTGTCCGAGGACAATCTTTCTCCCGAGCCCCAAATTGGGTCGTTCCAGAGTGGATTGAACTGGACAGTTCTGCTGCACGTCCCTCCACCACCCTCCCCACCCGGTTCCCCAATAAAAAAAAGTGCTGATAATGACACTCAGTCAGTCCGTGGAGTCTGTGGCCAGACTCCCCTATCTCCATCCTGCCTCTTTTTTCTCCTTCTCCTCCTCCTCCTCTCTCTGTCGTCACTGGCAGGTCTGGGGGATCTGGTGCAGCGGAGCTGGTGCGGGCGCCCCTGAGGGTGTAGATTGTTTAGGGAAGGCTGGTCAGGAGTCAGTACTTAACCCCCTTGTCTCCCTAACTCCATCTGCTCCTCCTCCACACGCGACAATGTGAGAGTAGGGGGACCCTTATCTCAGATCAGGAGATATACTAGTCTCTGAGTATGTCGAGCCACAGGGGGCGCGGGGGAGCCTGAGGGGCTCTGAAGGCTTGGCAAAGTTGGGCTTGTGCGTGTGCGCGCCAGCCATGAGCTAGCTGGCAGCCACTGTGGTTCCCCTCACACTTCCCCGGGGGAGATTTCCCCGAGAAGGCGGGCGCCGGCTTCGGCCTGGGATAGACCTGCGGCGGCAGGAACGGCCACGCACAGGTACAATTTAGCGCATTTCTTTGCGCGCTCTAAGCCCCGGGGTCTGTCCATGCAGACTGAGTGGGATCCACCGAGTCTGGGTCACTGAGGCGCCCTGTCCCGCCAGGTTGGGGGTGGGAACCAGAGCACAAAGAGGGGTCCTAATGTTCAGAGCTCCAACAGCTTGGTCTGCCCACCCCAAACCTCTGGTTGGTCTGGTCGACCTCTAAGTGCCAAGGGTCGAATGGGAAGTGTCGGTGGCGGGAGGCGCGGTCCCTTGAGTGTGGCATATACTACTGAGCATGGGCATGCATATTAATCAAAGCTGAGGGAAGAAGGAATAGTGGGGGAGGAGGAAGAGGAGGAGGGAGATTGGGAGAAGGAGGGAGGGAGGGAATAAGGGGGAGAGGGAGGGAGGGAAAGAGGAAGGAAGGAAGGGAGAGAGGGAGGGAGGGAGGGAGAGAGGGAGAGGGAGAG